TCGACCATTTCTGGCCGGCAACTTTCAGCGTCATTAAGCTGCTGCGCCACCGCGTCCCCCATCTATGTTGCATAGCTAACCTATTTAATTACTATAGTGAAGTATGCATGTTGCACATCACAAGCTCTGTCTGGAATATACACGGCCTGTCCCAAACCATTTCCATTTATTTTGAGTAGACAAGGTTTTGATGTCCAGCCTACCCTCTTAATCCCAGCCAGCCCAGCCAAAGTGGCAGTGCAAAGGGCTGTCTGGAATGCTGGGATTCAAGAGTAATTCCCAACTAATTGAGAAAGTCCTTCAAAGGAGGAAAAAAAATCCCCTTCCTATCCCAGCCTGAGACCACAAACCCTGTCCAAAGGAATGGAGCAGAAGGCACTGCAATAGGAAAAGCATTCCAGAATTCCACAGACTTTGTGCAGGACAGCAGAGATTAAAGTCTCATGGAGTTCACATATTCCCTTCTCTTTCACTACTAGATTTGTGCCCACACATGCACTCCTGAGCTATCTGGTCCTTCATTTTGAGAAGTTAAGTATTTGATTTCTTTCCTTTCTTTCCCGCTTCTGACTCCATAAATGCTATTTTCTTGGGGTATGATAGCAACCAGGCCCCTCTTTCCAAAATTAGTCAGGCGTAGGACAGCTTCCATGTTCTAACCTGCTCGGTGCTTTCTGGCTGAGGCGATGAGCTCCGGCTGAGACAAGGAAGTTGCTCCATCAGCCTCCTCAGGTGCCAGCATCTCCGGCCTGGGAGAAGGGAAAAAAGAGCAAGGAATGAGATGGCTGACCACAGGGCTGTACACAGGTATGGTCAAAAAAGTCAAGATGGCAGCCACAACCTGCAGTCAAAGCTTCACCCATTTTCATGCTATGGCCGCCACTTGACTTTTTGTACTACACCCTGTGGACACTTCCAGCTATCCCGCAGCAATGCCTTTTTTCTACTCTTTCAATAATGCAGATACCGCCACTGCATCGTCTCTGATTTCTAAGGAAGCAAAAGACATGGTATTTCCCACGATGGGACAATATAAAGGCAAACTGAGACAATATAAATTTATATAAATATAATTTTTATTACTTTTCAACTGAGTACTTGGCATTTGATGGCTGTCAGCCCCGTGAGGTAGACCAGGCCCTGAAATCAACTCCACAGGATGGTTAAAACTACTTCTATTGAGATTGGCTATAATAACAGAATCTTGCAAGTCTGACTGAGCTGTACCTCTTCCTCTTCCTCCTCTTCCTTCTTCTCCTTACAGTTCAGCAAATTAGGGAGGCCTCTGAACTGCTTCTGAATGTTATCTTGTTCTGGAGCTAAAAAATGCTTCAGCCCCTTTCGCCTAGGCAGCAAATCCTGCATACAGTATCTCCATCAAGGTCATCTTCCTTACTGACTACAATGGTTCACAATATCAGTGTGGAAACTATTGATTTCATTTGAGAAAAGGTTCTCCTAAGTTGACTGAAGTTCATAGAGATGTTCTGTGCAGATGGCCTGTTCACACATGCAAATTACCATCAAGTAATAATACTACCGGTTGAGTGGGAAAGGGAATGGAATTGTTTGTGACAGTATTTGAGAGGGAAAGAGAAGGCAGAACCAAAGACAGATAAAGACTGGTAATTGGCCAGATTCCAAGATAACGATGGGTCTGATTTCTTGAAGAAGAAAGTGAGTGGCTGGCCACCTGACTGTTGAGCAGCCAGGTTTGGAAAACCATGGAACCATGTAGGAGTGACTAAGCTGTCTGGAAAACCCTATTTCAAACTGTACTCCTGACACAAATTCACCAGGTAACATCCACAAAGCTGACTGAAGGCTCCTAGCAATTGAAAAATCACGACCTTCCCATTTTGTTCCGACTGCAATCATCCTTCAGATTTCTGGTGATCTACTGCATCGTGCTACATTCCATATACATGGAAAGCTCATTAGCCAAACAGACAGTGCTGTCTCTTTCCTTTTTTTTTTTTTTTCCTAATTTCCCCAAATTTAAAGTACAGTAGGTGTCTCACTGTGCCTATTTAGTTTAGTTGTGTATATATATAGGTTTGTTTGCAGTTTTGAAGTAGCCTTCCATTTCTTTAAAAAAAAAGTTTGTAATGCAAGCAGATAAACTGAGACATGTCTTATCTCTAGTCATTGCAAGAGTGAATCAAATTAGTCACCTATTTAGCTTTGCTGAAAAAATTGCCCATTTGGCTTTCTTAAACTATTTCACCATAGAGCAATTGCATCAATCAATCAATCAATCAATCAATCAATCAAAGTGTCAGCAGTACAGGGCTAGAGAAGTGCAGCTCAAAGTACGTCTCAGTAAATATGTGAATTGATGGTTAGGGTTTGAGTTGTAAGTCATATCAATTTCATCTAACAACATCTGCCTAGCATAATCAGTTTTGTAACTGGCTTTAAATTAGACAACCCCAGCACATCAGTTTTATAGTTTGGCTCAAAATCATGCTGGCTAGTTTCCCTTGCTTGTTAGTTGTGCTAAACATGATTAGAGATCGGATCTTCAGTGAGGAACATGAAACGATTTTGAAGCTGGAAATGCAGACAGAATATTGAGAAAGGACATCCCCAATATGTCCTTCCACACCCAACCACACCCTTCCTTCCAGCCGTGCCCATCATGCCTCAAATATGCATTTTCCTATGTACAGCTAGGAAAGAGGCTCTCATCCCTTAATTCCAATAATTACTAGTAACACAAATGCATTCTGTACTTGTACAAAGATGTTTCTTTTATGATCACCTTTCTGTTCCCCTCAAAGTAAATATCAGCAAGTTGACAAGTCAGACATGTGTCCACTCTCCAGCAATCCAAACGTGGTCCCTGTTCCCTCCCATATTCCATGACACAAATAGGCAAGGACCAAATATTGGCCACCACATCCCACCACAAGAGACCAGGTAAGACACAGTACTTGGAGATTGTGGAGGTGTTGGTGCCTCTGCCACTAGCATGTGAGGAGTCACTGGGCCATTAGGTCCTTCTGGGTAACCAGGGATTAAAGCAGGTTGCTGCGGAAGCTATAGAAGTAAGTAAAACAAAGCAAGAGTTAGCATTTCCTTTATATAAATACTTTTTAAATCTACTGCTTCTCCAAAAATGCTTATCTGTTGTGTTTCAACAATCCTTGTGAACTCTCTAGTAGAGGCAACTATTGTCCACATCCTGCAAGAAGGGTGCTCTGAGGTGGATTGTAGGTTCCCTAATGAGTTTGCATCTGGAGTGAGATTTGAACTGGGGATTTCCAGTTTCACAGCTCCTCTGCCTAGCCACTGTGCTCCATCGGTTACGTTTTCTTTTTCTTCTTTCCACCACTGTTGTTCTTTTTTTTCCACTTTATTAATCTCCCATGCACTACCTCAGTCTTTTCCTCTTCCTCTTCTTCCTCATCCTCATCCACAAAAGCAAATGACTCATGCTTCCATTGGTGTCCATCATAAGATGCCTCAAACAGCTTCTGCTGCATCTCCCTGGCAAGATGCAGGCGTCGCTCTGGGCTGAGGTGTCTCAGCAGCAGGGCCTGGAGCTCTGTCCGCTCCACTGAGCCCATTAGGATCATGGAATCTAGAGGGGGGAAAGCAAATAAGAAAATCTAAAGTCTAAAACTCAGAGATTGTCACAATCAGAGAGTCACTTGATAGATCTGCAGTTTATGAATCCATCTCAGATTATGACCTTTAAGCCTTTAAAATGAAAAGATCACTGGATTGCCTATGATTTTAGATGCTTTCCCCCCAAGAATGCAACTAGATTGCAAGCTTCAGCCATACTGTAGGATGTTTCCCTCCACCACTCACAATCACCTCTTAGCTCCCTTAAACATGGCTGGTAACAGGCCAGAACTGTAGAACTCCAAAACTGAAAAATATCAAGGAATGTCTCTCAAAAAGGCTGAACTTCATCATACATTCTGGAGCATCAGATTTCAGTGCGTTTGGAAGGGTTTGGAGAACACTTGAAGGCTTATCTGTTCCCCAATGAGAAACATGCTAACAGCAGGCAATATTCCTTTCATATGTGATGACTCAGAGAAATGCATTAAATGACATTTAATTTTAGAAATGGAGAAAGTGGAAGAGAGGAAATGAGAAGGGAATCTATTTATATAAATAAGTAGATAGAAATTGGCATTCTGCTTTGACCATACCATTTCTCCTTTGCCTACACATGTGCAGCCGTGAAACATTCAACAAAACCTACATGAGGCCCTCAACCCCAAAAGAATGGGCACTTGGGATTCAGAATATATCTCAGAATCCTCAACCAACTTTGGAGGCTTCACTGTAGACAAGTAAAAGACAAGGAGACACTGTTCCAGAGTCTTGCCAGAATCAACGTGCTTTTCTAATCATGATTAGGGTGTAAAAGAATGAGTGGAATCTAAGGGCTATATAAACATTTGATCTGAAGCTAGTGAAAGTCAGCTATCACCAGATGCTCAACAAGGCTCTGGTTCTCTGCAATCTGCAACCAGTTTTTTGGACTGCAAAAATACAGACAATCTGTTACTTTTTTGTATCTCTTTGCTGCCATCTAGTTATTATTTTTCTTGAACAGCTGCCCAACTCACAAGGACTTGGGGTGGCATACAAGCAAATGAAAAATAATAAAATCAATGCATATCAAAACAAACAAAACAGATTGGCAACCAAGGTCATTAATCAATATACTACCACGGATCTGTATTTTGCAGTCCAGATGTCTGCTGTCCCCTCAACTGACTATCCGTGAAGCATTCTGAATGAAGCAGCCTCAATGTAGCCCTTCCAGAAATGCATCACCCTCTTCCCCTCCTCCTCCTGCTCTTCCAACAGGGTGAGAGCTCCTCGCAGCACTGCAGCTGCTGCTGATTCAGTTCAGTATTTGACACCAACCATCTGTAGCTGCCTCCTCTCCCACACATGGCAACTGGATCCTAGTGCAAGGTGGTTGGTGACCAAACCCTGCTCCCCAGGCATTCTGGGGCAATTGGCCCTGTCTGTTGCCGATCCTCTGCGCAATTTCTTCAACCCACATTGTAGGAGGGTTGCTAAGTTGGTCTATGCTGATAAAACATCAGAAGGAGTCTGGTAGCCCCTTTTACAATTAACAAGCTTTACTAAAGGACACAAGCTTTCATGAGCTGTAGCTCACTTTATCCAATGAATTATTATTCATCAGATGCACTATGCTTTTCATAAAAATGTGTTAGTTGGAAAAGGGCTACCAGACTCCTGATTTTTTTCAGTACACATCCTCAATCAGAGAACTATACTAGTCATCAGATGTGCCAAACCTATTGGTATGTCTCATGACCATCCTCGTTGGGGTGCATGTGTATCGCATTGCATCATTATCTTTAAATCTGTCTTTTCAGCAAGACCAGGAATGTGCAAAAATGAATTATTTTCTAAGCTGTTTCACTCGGGAGATATATATTTCACAAAATCAGTGTCGTCTGAGTTCTCAGATTTTCATGACTAGTTGGGAATTGCCCTGCTCTCTCAGGACATATTGACTGATTCCTGCAACTAAATAAAACATTGCTAAGGAAACCTCTATTTCCCGGCCCCAGATAAAAGAAAAAAACAAAGTGTTTGGGTTGTATTTTGACATAAACTAAAAATTAAACTGAAACTAGAGTTTTGGCTTCATCCTCCCTCCCTTCATGCCGTAGAACTATACTACAAGAATGTGTTTGCAAATTCTTATTTGTGACATGATACTGCTTGCCTATTGAAGGAATGGGTAGGTCCAGTTTTATATAATAGCTATGAACTGGGAAGCATTAACATTGATTAATTTGGAGATTATTCGTTGTCCTTAATAGTTCTTTGCGGATCAAGTATACAAAAGTGGTATTTGCCACCACTGCCACAATCTCCCCTCATTGATGCCACCCCCAAATCTCTAGTGCTCAGATTCTAGAAGGATCTGGAAAAATCCCATGTTAATCCTTCCTGACCACTTTTTCTTTTCTTTTTTGGCTCTGCCTCTTTATTAGGAAGAAGTGGATCAGTTTGTGTTCCCTCAGCAAATTTTATTTTGCCCTGTTTCTGCCCTAAATTGCATTTCAAAACAATGCATGAAAATTCAACAAATCTGTTAACCAGCTGGATGTTAATTTTTTTTTTTTTAATGGAAGAGCAAGCTTTTGCTTGGCCATTCCCACAGAGCTTGCAGCCTTCATAAGTGCTGTCAGAAACTCTGTGAAGTCTTATATATAAGTTTATATTAGTATTGGATATATTCTACCACCTGGAAAGGTGGCTAATAGAAAATAGCAAAAACAAAAAAAAATTAAATTAATGCTTAAAAGAATTACTTCCCTCATTAAAACCAGTCAAATGACTGAACTGAAATGCTTGGGGTGGACAAAGTAAAATCCAGGGGGATCTTCTCCTGAAACTCTATTGGCAAGACTGCTTTAATTCAAAACAGGAATTGATGTGATTCCCCACAAAGCTCACCTGGAGAATCCACCAGAGGAAATGTCTTAACAGTGGTGTTCTGGAGTATGTCCTTCAGATCCCGATATTTGCAGTTAGAGGAGATGAATTTTACATCACACACCATAATGTCCTCAACGAAAATATTGTATTTGCTTGAGTGGACATAAGTTAAAAATGAAGAAAGAAGAAAGAAACAGATAGTGGAAGAAAGAGATTTATTTATTCATATTATACTTTGTCCCACAGCCCTTGCTGAAAACTATTCCCTAGTAAAATGTTACAGTAAAATCTTATTAATTAAAGTCTAAAGGATGCTGTTAAAATACCAAAATGCCTAATAGAAAAACATACAACACGGCTGGCTGGGTAATTCTGGGAGTTGAAATCCACATATCTTAAAGTTGCCATGGTTGAGAAACACTGCCATAACCGATACATTAGCTACAGATGATTAAAAAAATAAATACATTCCAATCTATAGGCAATCTGCCTTGTTGCCTTGGAACTGAACTGATTTCTGTCTCCTTCTGATCCTTGCACTGCCTTTTAGCCCACTCCCTCACTTCATGAACAGCCCTTAAGTACCTTATTTGGTTCCAGCCCAAGTCAGGCAAGTAAGGCAGTTTCTTCACTTGGATGATGCTGTCGTAAAGGCTTGGCTGCAAACTCTGAGCCACCATGTTGGCAAGAATGACGGCCACCATCATTGGCAGGATGTGGGCAATCTGACCTGTCAGCTCAAAGCAAATCACTGCCGTGGAGACAGTGTGGCTGACGGCCCCTGTCAGAGCCGCGGCTCCTTTCCCGACGGCAGGGCAGGACAAGGAAAAAAGGGGGAAAGTTAGCATCACCTGGACCTCAGTTGGAGCCAGAGGAAGGAAGAAGGTCCTAGGCTTACCAATTACTGCATATCCTCCAGGTAAGATTTTGTACACAAAGCCATCAAAGATAATCCCATCAGGAAAAAGCCAGGCCATGATTTCCCCAATCAGGCGTCCAAAGGCAGCTCCTAAAAGCCCAACAAAGGTAGTTTCTAAACTGTCCTTATCACAGCCACTAATACATTTAGCAACAGTTAGCAGGAAGTCAAATCCACACTGATGTTCTAATAATAATGTCAAACAGGGCAACGAGTCACCATACAGAGCTTCAACAGTTCCCATCCTTGCCTCTTTTTATGCCAGTGCCCAGAGAGTAGAAAGGGTGGGCTTCATTGCTATTTCTGAGCACTCAAGTGGCCTAAGCTTTGGCTTGCCAAAGAGTCAGATTTTCAATTCTCGGTTTCTGGCGCCAGTCCCCGATGACTTAACTCATCCAAGAGAGTTACCATGGAGCAGGAGATGAACAGATCATCACTTGTGGGACTGCCACAATCATTTGCAGAAGATGCAGGACGTAGGGAAGCTGGCATTGAGGTAAAACAGGAATGGATTCTCTACCAGGCCCTTGAGGGAAGGGGAAATGAGCTCAGGACTTAGTCATTTCATAGAAACATAATTCCCCTTTTATTTATGACTCTACCAGTTCTTTCCTCCATCACAATCTGCCTGAAAGTTCCCACAAAAAGACTAAAACTCACCCAGCACAAACACTGGCATGAAGCCTCCACAGGGTATTGGCATAGTAGTGGCGATGACAGACATCCAGAACTAGGATGGAGATGATAAGCAGCCATGATTACTGTGCAGTGCTGCCTCCTCTCTCTCTCTCTCTCTCTCTCCCCCCACCCCACTCTCTCATCAGAAATAGCCTGAAGGCAGCCTGCCAGATCAAGGTTTCAGCAGAGTCTCTGCCTTCCTCTCTGGCTGGAACAAAGTAGCAGGATGCAACCTAGCATCCTCCAAGGCACCTCCTTCAGTAACTACCTTTCTAATCTGCTCTCTCTGGTCCTTTTCCCCCCACCCAATGGGCGTCTCTGAAAAGGAACTCTTTCTCTCTCTTTGTCTATACTGGAGGAACTAGTTGATGTACAGCAGGAAAGATCATATGGCTGTTAAATTGCAAAGCAGTTGTCCAAACCAGTCCATCTCTGCTGACCTGGCCAACCTGCTGTCTGCTATTTAGCGATATACAGGTCGTCCCCAGTTTAAGAAAGAGCTCCATTCCCAAGGTCTATCCTTAAGTCAAATTTGTATGTAAGCCAGAACAGTATTATTATGTAATACTGTATAACTAGTATTGTGTAATTAACTCAAACCATTGTGTATTTAACTCAAACCATTGTGTAATTAACTCAAACCATTGTGTATTTAACTTGAATTTTGCTACAATAGGTTCTGTTCTTAACTATGGGTCATCTGTAAATTGGGCATTCTTAACCCAGGGACTACTATAAATAAATTATACATTAGTTAGTTCAACTTTTTTTAAAGCAGTGGCACTAATACTTCTTTTGAAATTCCCCTTACGTTAGGTAACATGCTTATTTGTGGATCCCATCCCACAAATTTGCTAAGAAATCTTCATTCCAGGATGGATGGAAAGAAGGCCTCAGATACAGATAGCTTCTAAACTATAACCTGTCATGATCCCAAGATACTCCTTTTCCACAGTCACCTGGATGTAGAAATAAAATGTTGGTTCCCACAGCCTTTAGCATAACTTTGTATTTTCCATAAATGTACACATGGCCAAATTCCCATAATGTATGCTGAAGTAAATTCTATTCAGCTAAATCCCTTTTTTAAAAAATGTGTGAACATAAAAAATTATTATTTTTTATTATTTTTTTATGTTCACAAATACAGCCATCAAGAAGGAATAAAGAACAAAAGTCTCCTCCCAGTGAAGGAGGAACAAATGATAATCTTTTAAGGAGAAATTCAAGGAACAACTTATTTACACTGTAAAATAAAGGAGCAAGGAAGAAAGCAATTAATTAAAGGAATGGTTGTTTCAACACGATTTTGACCATTCACACTAGGCAATTTGGCATTAAAACTATATTTTTATGCAACATTACCTGCACAAACCTTGTCTGAAAAAAGGTGGGAAGTCTATAATGCTGAGATACAATGTTTGGGCAATGATAACTGAGATTCTCTACAAAAATAAACTAGAAACGGAAGACTTCAGAGTTCATTGATTCTGCTCATGGAAAATGGCTGATAACGTGGTGGGAACAGCATAGAATTTGCACTTTCCAGGTAGTCTCCCTACCTTCATGAGGAAGAACAACAAGATGATGACAAACACACTGACTTTGGGGTGGATCCAAACTGCAGACTTCCCCAGAAGCTGTGGGTCCTCTGTGTGCTTTACCCAAGTGAAGTTATCAAAGAGGCTGCTGATGGCTTCTCTGGGCATCAACTACAAGGAGAAAAAGCAATGATGCTCATCTTTCAGAAAGACCCTTCTCTATCATGGTAAGGCAAATTTAGCCACAGACACTGAAACTTGTGATATGCATAAACTATGCAGATTCATACTGCATACTTTCACTTCAAGCATGTTATCTCATTGTCCATGTGAAAAAATATTTGTTTTGACTTTTTTAATGAAACCGAAGGGTCTTAGGAAGATGGATTCTGTGACAGAATCATGTTTTGTAGCCTTTCTGTGCTGTCGCAGGATCTCTTTATACAGAAAGGCCTGATTAGATTTGTTGGAGGGCGCTTCCAGAGAAAGAGTTTTTCTGTCATCTAAGCCTCCTGATCATACAATCAAAACAAAGCCAGGCTTGAAAGGGCTGTCTAGATAACTCTTGATCCTCAGGATACAACTGCCACAGACTTGCCTGCTTCTTTGAGAATCTCTAGCCTTGCAGAGAACCAACAATCCTAGTCAACAGAGAAGCACAGAGGTGACTTAAGCAAGGACCACCCATCTTGAGTCTGGATATGGGGCCCTTAACAAGATGCTGACATTCAACCTTAAGACAAGAGCACTGGGAACTGGGAGGCAGGTATCTTCTCTAATGAGCTCTATAACTGCAGTGCACAAGAGATGAGCCAAATACTATATCTTCTGCAGTGGGAATTCCCAGTTTCAGGTCACCCAACAATGGCATTGCTGGGAGGGAAGTTACTTCAATCCCTGATCAGAACTGCAACCCCATCTGACAGATCCTTGAACAGTCAGTCTAGAAGTGATTTCTATTGTTTCAGAATACGGGATATGATCTGTATTTTGTTTAATTGTTTTGGGGATGTCCTCTTTTTCCAGCAAGCAGAGAACAATTATTTAGAAACAAGAAGATTATACAAGCTTAGTGTGAGCAGAACTCCCTTTGAGGACTGCTCCTGTGGAATTCATCCTTGGCCTTTAGCAGAAGAGTTATGGATTTCCTGACACATAAGAGACCAGTTTTCACACATCATGCTAAGCCATAACGTTGTGTGAATTCAGCCACTGTGGTTTGTAAACCATGGTTAATGGCATAGAATCTTATTGAGCCCTGTTATTTGCAGCTTATATAGTAAGCCACTAAAGCATGGCTTAATAAGATACATGAACCTGGTCAGAATGAACCTAGATCATATTTTTTGAGAGGCAGAATCCCGCATCTGCCCTTATCCAGTGCAACAAAAGGTGGGATTATCATTGCTTTTCTTCTCAGCAAGCAGACAAAATAGAAGGAAAAACAAGAGTTTATTCCCCACCAGAGTGCTAGCACAAACAGAGAAGTGTTAGTGCTATTCAAAAAATAAGTGCAAATAGAAAACACTCTATCCTTCCTTCTATGAAACAGACACTTGACATGTATTTTTATACACTCTGTGATTACAACTGTTAGTTTTATTAGGTTTTTATTCATTCTATTATTTATATTTGTACATGGCCTTGGAATCTCAGGCAATGCAGAACAGCACCGAAATGTTAAATGTTAAATAACTATACAAACAAATGGAATCCTCACTTCTCCAGCCATAAACTGTCCAAAGCCGGGAGGAAATGTGACAGATGCTATCACAAAAGTTATAACCCCTGGATACACAAGGCGGCTGAAAGAGAAAAGAACAGGAGTTAAATTCATACAGTGGTCTCTGAAGGATGCTGTGAATGCCAGGCAGAAGACAAGGGCTGAGCCAGGAAAGGTCTCTTCCAACACTGATTCCTGAGAATGGGTTGAATAACGTTCTCCTCTTAGCTAGAGTTGAATGCAAAAATACCAGCTACTTCTCAGGAAGTAAGACAAACATACATCTCTTGGAAGAGTTTCTTGTTTAATCTGAATTAGAGCATAATTCAGCAGCTTCTAACAGTTGTCTCCCCTTGGACCTTTTTTTTCCCCCCTAAATCTAAAGCTACCAGATTTGGACTGCAAAAATTCAGATGATCACTAGACAACAGCCAAGAGATAGAGTGTTTTCTGTTTCTTTGCTGGCATCTGGTGGTCACTAGGATATTTACAGCTCAGATTTGTTAGCCCTACTTGATAGCAACTCTAGCTTTAGTTTAACAATGTCCTGCTTACTACAAGACAAAAATAAACATTTCAATTGGCCATCTACCTCAAGTTCTTAAAGCACAATAAACCTGAAGACAATATATTATTAATTTCCTATGTTAAGAACATTTGCTGGATTATAGTTCCCCCTACTATTAAAAATGACATTAAAATGAAAATCTTAATTCTAGCAAAGTTAATGTATTCTTATGTCTTGTAGAAAAGGAAACATGGCTTCAATCCTTCCTGTAGATCTGAATGCAAGAAAGGTTCTTTGCAGAGATGGCTGTTGACTTGTTACTTCATAGATAGTTTGTCTAGCCTGGGCTCCAAACAGAATTATTAGAACAATATAGATGTTACCAATCTTAAATTTAAAATAAAATAACTTAGTAAAGCATACTCACTATTTGGTTAGGAACTGACTTAGAGCAGTATGTTGTCTGACAAACAAAACCACCTGTCGATTGAAATAAACAAAAAATGCTCCAAGGAAGCCAGAACAGATCCTATAACAGAAGATTTGGGGGGGAAAAATTAATCCTGGGCATTTGAATTTACCTAAGAGCCCTGTTAAAATTAGATGAAAAATCTATAGCTAATTTTTCAACGGCCAGTCAGATTCTTCCAGAAAAGTTCAAGAATATATACCAAAATATATGCCATTTTGAATTCTGCACAGTCATCTCTATTTAAGTTCAACAGTATATCCAGAGAAGGCATAAATAACTAGACAGAAATGAGCCTTATTGATTAAGATAATAGAATCTTGAAATGGTCCATAACTTTTTTGGCTAGGGGGCTACCATTTGAATGCTTAATTTATGTCTTTTTAAAAAAACAAAACTCTGCAAGTACAAAACAACAAAAGTTGGCTGTACTATTACCAGATCTCAGCCCATTTCCTGCATCCTAATTTTCTGCTAGGAGAACATTCAGAAATGTCATCCATTTTCTGCAGTTTCAGATGATGAAACCTAGACTACCACCTCAGAATGCTATCTCTAATATCATAATTCTTATCTGCTACAATTTGTATACTGCAGACTTGGCCCTCCTCCTTTATACATCCCCATAGTTTGCTTTTCAGTAGTGTTTATATGATCATAAAACTGGGATAATGTCTCCCAAGAAGACTGTTTTCTAGAGCAATGTTTCTTAGTGTGGTCTCAGGACCCCTGGAGGTTCCCCAAGACTCTTTCAGGGGTCCATGAAATCAAAATTATTTGCCCGCCTATGTTGAAAAATAATACAATATTAAAATTCCATCAAACAATCATGAGAAGCAGTTGCGGCAGCAAATGCATCAATTTTAATTTTTAATATGATCAATATTGATAAATATAACCCATACAAACAAAAGCTCTTTTGGGGTCTTCCATAATTTTTAAAAGTGGGAAGGGGTCCTGAGAGAAGAAAGGTTAAGAAACACTGTTCTAGAGCACTATATGTTCCAGAGAATATACATTGCATTGTATATTCTCCAGTCCTGAGTGACAACCTTTTTACCAATATAGCTAGGTTGAACAAACACACATCCTTACAGATCCAAAAGCAACTGGAGGAGTCACTACTTTTAAACTATATTTGAGTTATTTTGCTTAAAAGTTCAGGACATCTAATTGCAACTCAGCATTAAAACTCTTGACAAAGCAAGAGAGAGAGTTTGGTGTTCCTAAGCTGAGCCTAGAATAGAAGCTGCAGCTCTTTCTTAAACTGCATGTATTGTCAGCCACCAGGGTTGCAAACTAATTGTTTAGTGAATTCTATCAGGAGGGAATTTCAAAGCTTGTTTTGAAGAAAAAGACTTCTGGTCCAGGTTAGGATGACCAGATAGAAAGGAATTCAACAAAACAGTTTTTGCACCTGCAGTATTTCTCAATCCTGCATGATAAGCTGCATGACCAAAAAATGTTAGACAAGGATTAGAAGTCCACCCTCACCCATGGACGTTCACTAGGTAACTTTGAGTCAGTCACCATCTCTCAGTACAACTGATCTCACAGGTCTGAAAAACTGAAGAAGGGACTGTTTATGTAGTTTGTAGAAAAGGCAGAATAGAAATCTAACAAATACCTATTGTCCTCCTTTGCATCTGATCATCCAGAGTAGAGTGTAGTCTCAGTTTCTCCAAGCAAAAACAAAACTATGTTTCTCCTCTAAACTGAGCTATTATAAGGCAGCTTGAAATATAGGTGTGCGAAGAGTTTGAATTGTATTGGGAAGAAGGCAAAGACCAACTATTTCTATACTGTTCCCATTTCTATGAAATGACCCCAGGAGTCAAGTTTGACTCAGAGGAGATCTTACCGTATCTTTTTTTAAGACCTTACCTTTTTTTAACATGGAACCTTCTAATTTAACTCTGTTTCATCTGGAGAACTTTCAGTAGGGCTTGCCTTTCTTCACCCCCCACCCTGCAATTAGGAGTGCTTCAGTGGGCTTACCCTATTACAGCAAAAGCTGGCAGCTCCTGGAGGTCAAAGGGAAAATCCATGCGGAAATTTGTTCTGAACAGGGCTGTGATGGTGACTGGGAGGAATGGGGGTGGGAGGAAGAGATAACCAGAATGACCAGGTAAGAAAAAAAAGAAAGAAAGAACAAGAAGATAGGTCCTCGGTACGGACACACATGAGAGAACCTGAGAGCACCCTACGAAGCTGCTTTATGACCATTATCTAAGTTCTAAGAACCTCACTGGAAAATAATAATAATAATTTTTAAAAAACCATACTTTTCTGAGAGGAGTGAAATAATTCAGCTTCAAAACCATTTTGTTAAGAATGGTTCTGTTGTTACTAGAACACCTTTCTGCCTTGCACAGAAACTCCCCCACCCACTATCCCCACAAACTTGCAGAAGTTGTGTGTAAAGCCAGTTCCAGTAGGGAGCAATAGTCACAAGAGAGGCTGGGAGGAGATGTATCTTCTCATCTTACTTGCATCCTTGTTCCAGACAGCAAAGACTCGGAAAACGAAGGCACTGAATGTGGCTGCAAAGAATCCACGCCAGTAGTTACGGACCGCAAAGTAGGTGGAAGTGACTTCAATGCTAAAGAGAACACCTATAGAGTAGATGGAAGTTCTCATCGATACATGATAGCTTACAAACACAAAGTGCATGCAAATACTATTTCCCCCAGCCATCCCTCCCCAAAATAGGTGTTTGCAAGAGGGAGAGAGTTAAAGCAATAAATGGGTATGAAGGTGAAATCTACTTTTAATTTCCCTTTCATTTTGGAAGAGTTTTTTTTTAAGGTTATAATTAAGGCCACAGAGGAATAGGTGTAAACAAGACTGAAGGTTCATGAGCCATCCTTTTTACGTTAACTTACTAGTTTCTCAACTTTCTGCCATCAGGAGAATGTTTTCTGTTGAAGAACCCTTTCAGGCTGGATTATTTATTAAGTTCACTTCACAAGAAGTTCTGGATAGGACTACTGAATCGAAATGATCCCCTACATCAATTGAGGTTGATTGTAGAACTGGTTTCCTTACTGAAAAAACCCAAAGGACTTCAGGGTTATCTGGAATGAATGCTGAAAGCCTGTGTTTTGGTGGAACAGGCACTGTAGCCGCCAATGTGACATCACTGTCTCCTATGCTAGTGACGGGGTGCATCTCAAAACATCACATTGGCCTTGTCCACATGGATCTGAGTTAGGCGTATTGCTGGAGCAGCATGAGAAGATGCCATGAGTGAACACGGATCTTCCTCCTGCTACGGCTCTAAAAATAAACGCTGGAGAGTTTTTTTACCTGGATGGAAAATGATGACCAACAGGACCCTGGGAAGGAAGAGTGCCAGCCGAACCAAACAAATGATATTAATAATAAGAAAGGGTCTTATAAATGGAGACTAAAGCACGATGCGGGAGAAAAGATGGGATGTGTCTGGGAAAACTTAGACAAAAGCAAGCAGCCACTTGCCTCCAAGTGGTGTCCCGAAACAGCAGCCAACCCCCACTGCACATCCCACAGTCAGGACATCTGTGTAATAATATGGCTGCTACTAGTGGGAGAGACGAGACAAAGACAGAGAAAGAAAACAGGAAAGAAAAGGAGTGAGAGGATTGGTAGCCAATATTACAGTTGATGTTCTGTAGCACATCTCGCACCCATTGAAAAATTCTGTGCAAGAAATTGGGGCAATGTGTCTGAAAGCACAACTCTCATAGAAACAGAATACTCTCACCTTCCCAGGACCCACACTTTTGTAAACATCAAAAAGGTAGTTGCATGTCAACAGTGGATGGTGAAGAAATGTATGTTGTAAATAACTTCATACATCATAAACCTCCAGTTTGAAAGGATAGGAATCTGGATGCGTTCTTCACGTAGGCTTTTGCATGTGAATACTCCATGCATAGAGAATGGGCTACAAAATGGGAATTGGTGCATTCTCCAACTACAGTAGTACTTGTGAATAGCTTCAGTAATTTAGAATGAACTGGTCTTTATAAAAATCACTTGTTAAAAACCCAGTCACAATGAAGAGAATCCTGCACTTGAGAACTTGCACGTATCAGCTTTCTCTCTGGTCCGGTTGATGGTTTCGCGAGGGAATGACCACTTTAGGAACTATTCCATTTGGAATTCATGGGTGTGCTATTAAGGCAATATATCTGACTGAAACCCTTTCTTTGGATAGAGTCAAAACTGTTTGAATCAATCTGTATCTGTTGCCTGATTCACATGATTAACTGTCATACACAGATGACAGACAGTAACAAGGAAGAAAGACGACAGCAGCGAGGCCTCTCTTCAGAGACACACAAGGGAATTGCTGAAGCCACCACAATGCAGTTGGGGGTCATCACCATAGAAGCAGGACTATTATCAATACTGAATTCTATCTACTAGAGAGCTCTCATTCAAAATTACACGGGCAGTTCAGATTCGTATTTATAGCCTGTACCTGATTTCAACATTGCCAAGCACAGATTCCGCTTAATTTAGAAGATGCAGAGAGGAAAAAAACAAAAACTATTATTTTATTAACTTTATAAGCAAGTTTGTCCTTAAAAAAAATTATTTTCGCATTCCTGTGTCACTTCAGAAAATAATGATCCACTATGGCGGGTATCACCATGCGGGTGGGTAAGAACGGACTGTCAGGCTCAATCTCGCTGAATATGTTGAAATGTTGCTTTCGATTCAAGGGGAATCAAGATGCCGTCAGATTTACTGCTCTTGGCAACTTCATAAAGAATCTGCTATAATTAGCTTATTGATTCAGTTGTGTTTCTTCGCTGACTAATATGGACTAATTAATTTTATTTATTTATTTTATTCCTTTAAAAGACTTACAGTATAGAACTACCCATCTTTTGTACCATAACCCTTGGCAGCTCACGGAAGCAGCAATAAATAAATAAATAAATAAACAATAAAACCAGCATAAAAAACTCCCAGTGCTCCAAAACATCTAAATTTACTGGGCTCCAGCCTCACCCTAACCCCACACTTTGGAAATTAACTGCCAGACTGAAATGGCAGTCCATTTACTTCCTGTCTAGTATTTCACATTTATAAAAAGACTCATACATTTCTAAGTTCCTTATTCTCATACCAAGAATCATTGTTTCCCTTCCCCCCTGTGGATACATTATTACATAGAGGAACTTTTTCTACCTGCCTTTCAAGAAAAAAATGGTAACTAACCCCAGGATAAAAATCATCTTTCTTGAACAAAAAAATCTCTTAAGGATCTTTAACCCAAAGTATTATTTTATCATTGTTGTGGCTATACTTCTTTATAGACTAGCTGTAAAAACTGAAAGTATTTCCAGCAACAATTACACCTGAGTTGGCAGTTTTAGGATAATGGTGAAAAGAAAAATACTCTACAGTTATACATGTATACATAGTAATGCATTTTTAATGACAGTCCCCATTTTCCCTAAGAAAAAATAAATGAGGGAGATAATGGGGACAGTCATTTCCCCAGGGCACTGCCTAAAACTAAGAGGAACGTGAGCTGGAAAACAGATGATATGTAATTGTCGTGGGAATAATTTCTTGGCTGTCCAGCAGAAGTCACCTCCTTGCCCCACCTCTGCTTCCTGTAGAGATCCACAGGATGTTCATTCACCTTTGTTCTGTTTCCCTGCAAGGTTACGTGAGACAAAACAACTGCACCGTTGTGCCCTAAGAGTGCTGGTATCTGTGGCAGAGAAAGCGCGCATTCATTCCCGAATCCTCCTCAGCCTGGGACATCAGCACGTTGTGTAAACACAGGAACACACTTGCCTCCAAGAGGGGCCCCGAAGCAGCATCCAACGCCAACTGCACAAGCGGCCACCAGGAGGTCCAGTTGCCTATGCATATTCTGGAACAGAGAGCCCAGCCAGAGAGAGGCATGCCAGGGTTAGAGGGGGCACAGGCAAGAGTTAGTCCTGTCTTCCAAAACAAAGCACCAGCCAGCAGCAAAGCCAGCCTTCTTTTAGAGCACAGTGAGTCAGCTTTAGTAGCAAGGGCAGCCGTGATCTACAAGAACTCAGTCTCCTCCTAAGATTCTGCCTTTGTCCTGTTTTCCATAGTTTTATTCATTAATATTTAGGCTGATTAGATGCCTTCTAAAATAAATCATCTAAGCATTTGTTACCAGCCACTGGAAGAGTACAGCACGGCCCAGTCATAAAGCTGTCACTTCAAGAGCTCTCTATTTTAATTCCGCAACTAGGGTTAGAAGCAAGGAGCTTCTAGAGCAGCGTTTCTCAACCTTGGCAACTTGAAGATGACTGGCTGGGGGATTCTGGGAGTTGAAGTCCACACATCTTCAAGTTGTCAAGGTTGAGAAACACTGGTCTAGAGCCACAGCCAGCCTCAAGATACAGCTGTTTACAACAACCGTAGCTGTAAGCTCAGTTTGCATGTTAATTATTCCCAATGAACCTGCCCTTAATATAGGAATGGGGAGCGGGAAATCATCCTTATTTACATCTATTCAACCACTTCAATTTTGTAAGGGTAGCAACTGAAGTCAAGACTCTTAGTGTCAAATTTTGCTGGCCCTTTTGCAACCAGCATAAATTACCAAAAAGCAGGCAATCTTGCATACCTTTGGCTCTTTTGCATAATTTTGTTTGCAAGAGCATGGAATTATGTTTTCATCAGAAGAAAAAGGGGAATTCAGGATGGTCTCTATATAACCAGTTTGATGTTCCACAGGATAAATAAAGTACAGTCATAGAGGAAGGTTAGGAAACTGTGCAGAACATCAAAAGCCCATCTCAGACTGCCAGATTCCCTATTCAAATTGTTCCCTTATAACCAATTCCAAACTTTTATTTACACAGAAGTTGATATTTTCAAGAAGCCAAACATTGCTCCTGATTTTTTTCAGTACAATTGCAATTACACTTCATTATTCTTGAGCAGTTCCTCCATATTCCACTGGACATAATTGCAATCCAGGATACCTAATACTCTTCTCACTGTCATTTCCTGTGTTGTGCAGCTTCCTGTTCTTGAACTTACGGTTTCATTTTAATGTCCCGAGTTCTGCTGTCATCATCAATACTGTAGTGTATAATGCTCTCTCCCGCAGCAATATCACTCTCAAACTAGACGGAGCATGCAGAACACTTACCTCATAAACCCCACAAAAGATAGACAAGAACTTGCTGAGGACAGCCGCGCAGATGCTTGCAATGTGCACAAAAGGGCCCTGCCAAAAATAAAGAGAGACAGTAAGTAAGTAACTGGGAAGAAGTAGTCTGAGAAGCATCACAGAGCAGGCCAACAGCACAGGACGTGCCTCCAAGCGGATCAGCCTCTCCCTGCCTGCATTGTACTGAAACAATTTCAGCATCTTTGCTAACTCTTTCATGCTATCAAATCCACATAGCCAACTTCTGCCCTTGGTGATTCAGGTGTAGTGGGGAAGATCAAAAATAAATGGAGCTGGGAGTCCTTCATTCAGTGTTGTCCAAACTTGGCCACTTTAAGATGAGTGGACTTCAACTCCCAGAATTCCCCCCCCCCCTTTGCCCCTCTTTTCTTGTTTGGGGCTTCTGGGGGGTGAAATGCTCTCAATTTAAAAAGGGCAAATTTTGGAAAAACTGAAATTAGGAAGACC